GAGACTCCCAGCAAAGGGAGGGAGGGACAGGGGCGCGAAGTGACCGAGAGACCAGTTTCGTCTTCCCATCCCTAATAAACCTCACCGTTCACATGGACTGGGGCTCTGAAGATGGCAAATTAGAGCCTTTTTTGGTTAGCTCCTTGAAGTTAGGGGAAAAAAAATCAGTCCTGACTGTTGGTCACTGTCCTGAAAACCTAAGGGTCGCCAGTTCGATTCCTGGTCAGGACATGTGCCTGGGTTGCAAGCCAGGTCCCCAGTTGGGGGTGCGGGAGAGGCAGCCATACATGGATGTTTCTTTCCTTCTCTTTCTCCCTCCCTTCCCCTCTCTCTAAAAATAAATAAAACCTTTAAGAAAAAAAAAATCACATTATTGCTGTAAGTCCTCCTGTTCTCTATCCAAACGACAGAAATAGTTACTCTTGCCTTCCTCGGGATTGCTGAGAAGATAAACGCAGGGAAAAGTTCTCAGTTAATGAAAACTCAAGTTGCAGGAACACAGTAAAAGATGGTTTTGATGGAGCCTGACAACATGCAAAACAATATCATTTAGGCACAGACACAGAGCAAAGCTTTCAGAACATGCCCTAAAGTAATAAACAGTAATTGCACTTCAGTGCGTTTTACGGAGCTGAGCGGGGAGGCACGTTCATGGTGATGTGAACTGCACATCTGACTCCCTAAACTAGGCGTCCAGGCGTATTTTTTGTATACCTAAACATACTCCTGTGAACTTCCAAGTGTTTTGTTTGTCCTGCTCTGCAAAGTGCTCGTCCAGCTTTTCCTCTCCACTCCGGGACGTGCAGCCACGGCTCCCCTGAGCTGGGTCGAGAGTATGGCTGAGTGATGGAGCCACGAATTCAAGACATAAGCACTTCTGTCACTGGGAGTCACGGGCCTGGCCCCAAGGTCCTTCCTGGGCAGCGGGCTGAGAGTCTCCCCGCTCCCAAGGCTGCCCCAGCTCAGCTGCTGTGCAGGATGGCAGGAGGGAGGGGACAGCGGGAACTGCCCAGGACTGACAGCTGAGAGACTACGAAGCCCCTCGGGACCCTCCCTCTGGGTTACCAGGTCCCAGGGCACACTGGTCAAGGCCCCGTGGCCACCCAGTGGCTGGCCAGCACCCATGTCTTGTGAGTGAGCAGGAAAGGGGCCCTCGGCGCTCCTCTGGGATGTGCCCAGGGAGGGCAGCCCTCCGAGTTTAAACCCCTCTGCAACGGGTCAGCCCCCCACCATGCCCACAAATTCTGGGCACAGAGCCTGCACTCTCACAGGGACACAGAAGCCAGCGCCCTCTGCCCTGTGGGCTGTGCGGGACCCCCAGGCCCACTGGGAGCTGCAGGTTGCAGAAAAGCTCCCGGAAAACCTGCTGCCCTGTCTGCCAGTGCAAACTCCCATCCCCACCAGGGCAACCTCCCATCCCTACCAGGGCAACCTCCAGAAACCTGCCAACATGACCCCTCCCTAGCTACTCCCACCTCCCTTGCCCCTCTGCCTCCCCGCAGATGCCGCACCAGAGCGTAGAGACTGGTGGTGCCGCAGTGACTGTGCGACCTCCGTTTCCTGGGACCTGGCAGCACCCGCCCTGGAAGGGAGGTGTTGAAAGGGGCCCTGTGCCCAGAGCCAGGCAGGGGCGGGAAGGCGCACCTGTCCCAGACGCCCTCTCCGTCGGGGCTGCAGCTCACCCACGGGGACCTTCCTCCGCTGCAACATCTGTGCATTTTCATAGAACTTCCCAAAATATTACTCTGCAATTATTTCCAGAGACTTAAGTGGGATCCTCAAGTACATACAATTAAGATGAAAATTGTAATTTTAAATTACTCCTAATTTGAATAAACATAAAGCGCTTTCATCTCCGAGCCAAATGCAGACGGCAACGTCCCGATGAACCCTCAGAGGCCACTGAGCTCCAGGAACCGAGAGAAGCAGTGGGCCCTGCGGCATGCGGAGCGCCCTCAGCACACTGCGCAAACCGTCATCACTCTCCCAGCTCTGCAAGATGGGAGTGCTTCCTGGGCCGCCTCCCGAAGGGGCAGTGCTGCCTGGAAAGTGAGGGGAGGCTTTGACCCCCGGGCACCAGCACCAGCTCGGGGACAAGGATGCAAGGTCCCACCCTGCGTTGGCCCTGCTTTCCAGGACGGAGGCATGACGTCCATTCTGACTCAACGGCCGCCACCCTGTCACCAGCCATTCCTGGGCCTCCTCTGAAGCCCGGGAACTCCAGAATGACACAGATGCACTGTCCCTCCACTCCCCCACCCCCAGAGGCCACCGGCTGTGGGACAGGAGGTTCAGTGGGACCCGTCCTGCTGCTCCAGAGCACCCACTTCCTCCACTGACTGACACCACCCACCCGCCCACTCACCCACCTCCCACGCCAGTTTCCCCAAAGTCCCAGCCCACGTAAGACCAGGAGAAAGTAACAGGGGGACCTTTTTTGGGGGGGACTGGGCCCATCGGGAGGATAGAGGGCCCTGTCTCACCTCCGGAGCAGCGACTCCAGACCCCCCGGTACCGACAGCTCAGCACCAGCCTCACAAGCTTCAAAAGGTAGAAAACAGCCCCCAAACTCGACCAGCCTGAGGGGGTGGCCCCAGACCCCGGTGCAGCCTCACGCTGCACTGGCAGGGCAGGGCCTCCGGGACAGGTGGGGACCGGCCTCTGGGCCTCCGTGTCAGCTCCTGCTGCTGCTGCCTTCACCCAGCTTCTCTCTGCATAGACCTAAGTGGGCCGCGCCCTCCTTCTCGAAAAGTAACTGCCATGAACGCCGCTTCATGTCTGGGAGTGGGCGGCCAGTCACACTTCCTCGCGCAAGAACCGTGGACTTCAGAAAAACACAGCTTCCCCCTTCCGCCGACAGCGCCAGGAAAATAACATCCGTGACATTTGTCATTAAGAGCAGGACAGATGGCTGACGGTTTGGAAATCTGTGCGTGAAAATTGGCACTAGTGACAGGAGCGCCAACGAGACAAGGAGAATGGGGCGCTCTCGCTTTTCTTGGCAGGCGGAGGGCCCGAGAAGGCAACCCCAGAAGCGCAGTGTGGGGGATGGCGGCGGAGGGGCGGGGTCGAAGGTCAGTCCACGGGGGGAGGGCTAGAAAGCTGGCAGCTGAGACGCGGCCATAGGGAGCCCAAGTGCTCCTGTGCTGGCCGGGGAGGCCCAGAAAGACACGCCACTGGCCCCTGGGAGAGGCGAGCAAGCATCAGCATCGGGCGTCTCCAGGGGCAGCGGTGGGCTATTTCTCTGCCCTGAGAGGATGCCCGGGAACCGCCCAGGCACATCCGCTCCTCTGTGCTTCCCAGTCACCGCCACCACAGCGCAGGAGAGAAGACCCCCAGAGCAGCGCTGGCCGCCTGCGACCAGGTAGCTTGGCCTGGCTGTCTCTCTCTCTTTCAGTCTGTTCGCTCTCGGAGCATGCCAGGCACTGTTCTGGGTTTGGGGGCGACAGGGGGCAGGTGGATGGGGTTCCAGTGCCCCAGAGTTCACGTTCTCATGGGGAAGAGAGGCCACCGATGAATGAACCGCCAGACAGAGAACACCATGCCGGGGGCGACAGGGGACCAGAGCAGGGGAAGGCCTGGGCGCCACCGCTCACGTGTCCAGAGCCTGGACGCCATCCCGCCACCCGTGCAGTGGGACAAACCTGGGAGGACTGAACACCAGTGGCTTTTTGTGGACCCATCTGTGAACTGAGTTTACAGGCCACGTCCTCTGCCCCGAAATCTGAGGGACCACAGACGTCTGATGTCTGCTCTTGGCTCTGGCAGAGGGAGGTGACAGTCGCCACCAAGAAGCACACCAGAGCCTCCTCCGTGACAAAGGCCAGCTGCCTGGGGGGAGGACTTGACCAGAACCTTGTCTCAGAGCCATGGGACAGTCTCACTGACATTCCGTGTGTGCCCTCACGTGGCAGGGGGAGCTCTTCCATAAGGCAACTGATTTCATCGTGCGGACTCAGCCTCCTAACCCAATACCACCCTCCCCAGGGGGCCGGGATGTCAACCCCGGAAGGGGGTGGGGGCAGGACACAGCACTCAGACTGCAGCTGGGGCGTCGGAGCACTCCTTCAGTTTCTTAAAAATAGAAACACAAAGCCCTGGCTGGCGTAGCTCAGTGGATTGAGCACGGGCTGGGAACCAAAGTGTCCCAGGTTCGATTCCCAGCTAGGGTACATTCCTGGGTTGCAGGCCATAACCCCCAGCAACCGCACATTGATGTTTCTGTTTCTCTCTCTCTCTCTCTCTCTCTCTCTGCCCCCCCCTCCCTTCCCTCCCTAAAAATAAATAAATAAAATCTTAAAAAAAAAAATAGAAACACAAGCCTAGGACAGAATGAAGCTAAAAATCAATACCAGGCAGATAGGGGAAATCCCCAACGACTGGGAAACCAAACAGCGTTAATTCCAAATAACATGTGCGCCTATAAAGAAGACAGCATGTGAAGATTTTTTTAAAAAAATGTTGAACGAAATGAAAATGAAAATCCCACTTCCCAAAATGGAGCAAAAGCCATGCTGAGAGAGAAACGTGTAGCATTAAATGTCTCGATTAGGAGAGAAGATCGAAAATCAATAACCCGTGCTTCTGCGTCAGGAAAGAAGATGAAGAACAATTGCAGCCTGAAGCGAGTGGGAGAAACAAGGGAAAGCTCAGAGCGCAACACAAGGCATTGCACACAGGGCGATCACGGGCCTGGGTCTCTGGAAGCACGTGTACACTGTGTGCGGTTGTTTACCCTGAAGTCCTTTCTGTCCTTCTCCCCAAAACAAAGGTGATTTGTAAAAAAAACAAAACAAAACAAAACAAACAAACAAAAAAAACCCCCTGAAAACGGTGGGAAAACGTCAGTGCAGCAACACTTAGTTAGGCTTTTACTAGAGAGAGGTAGGGGCAGCAGAACGCACCGCTGGTCCCCCAGCCCCCCTTTCAGACGGGGCGAGATGCACAGAAGAATGGCACGTTGGCTGAGGCACTCCGTGACCGCCACAGGCCCGACTCACCCCGAATCTCCAGGCCCCAGAGGACTCTCGGCCATCCGCAGGACGGTCCTGGCCTTGGCGGCAGGCGTGTGTGCCCGCACGAGCTTCCGCAGCGCTTAAATCTTTCAGATCCTGGAACGAGAAAGGTGAGGCATCAGCGGGGTGACCACGGAAGCTATACTAAAAACCACCGACCTAGCATTCTCTGCCCAGCAAAATGATCCCTCAAAAGTAAAGGAGAAACGCGCCTGTGCAGTAACTCTCAAAGGGAGCTCGGAGCTCCAGGACCGGAACTGCAAGATTCTGCAGAGCCACCAAACATTGTGAAAAGCAGAGTCCCGAGCGGATCGTGAGCCTCCCCTCCCCCGCGTTTATTCAGGAAGGGCGGCCGGCACAGGTGACTGAGGATCTGGGGCCCAAGCGTGGGGGTGTATTTTTTCAACCCTTTTGGAGAATGATGAGGGGAACCTGGGGTGTTAATATTTCAGGCCCCATCTGCGCTGACCGGAAATGAAACTCGTTCGTTCTCCGAGGTGTGTTCCCGACTTGTTTTTCCAAAGCAGCAAACTGCGACAGGAGATGAAGGGCTTGCCATCATTTGAATTTCTTATCTTAGAATCCTGTGCGCTATACATGGAGGAGGGCTTACAAAAGACGCTAAACAAGGCCCTTTGAAAGGGAGACCACGTGCGCTGCGTGGGTGCACAGGGAGAGCCATGGGGAGTGCGAGTGACACTGCCTCCTCCCTGACGCATGGAGGCGCCAGTGCTCAGCCCGCAGAGGGCGCCACCCTGGATCTTCGCAGGCAACAGAGGCACCCTGGCTCCTACCCTGGCTCTGCCTCATACAGCCTGGGAAGACTAGGGAACCTACCCATGCCTCAGTTTCCTTTCCTCAGAGAAGGATGAGAGCACCAAGATACTGGGGTGTAGGCCCCACCCATCCCCTTCTCCCTATCCTGTCGCAGTCCGGCCCCTCCCCTCCTGACCTCTCTCACTACCCCCAAACACAAGGACATCCGACAGGTGCCACCCCAGGGCCTTTGCACGGGCCATCCCCCTCGCTGTCCACTTGGTTCCCGCCTTCCCCTCCCTCACGCGGCTCATCCCTCCCTGCTCATCCCTCGCCCCCCTGAACACCCTACCGAGAGCCGCCACCCCGCCCACCGCCTTTCCTGGCCTCCTCCCCTGGCGGATGCTTCTCTGTGGCACTTGCCTCCGCCTAACACGGGGCATATTGTTTATTTATCTTGGTTATCATCCGCCTCCCTCCCTGGAGGGTAAGCTCTGTGAAGGCAGGCACGTTCGGTCAACACTCAACAGACACTTGTGCAGTCCTATAAAAAGGTAACTGAAAACTGCTGAGAAAAATTAAACCTATTAATTTTTGAAAACACGGTACTTGATATTCAGAGAGCCCGATACGAGTCTGGACACAACTGAGGAGCCGCCTGCTGAAGTGGCCGATGGAGCCAAGGGATTCTCCCAGCATGCAGTGCGAACAGACCCCGGGCAGCAGCCGCGGAGGAGGACCCGTTCTCCTCCAGAGTTGGGGAGGGCCGCTGGGCCCCAGGCGCATCCTTCCCACACCTGCCATCACGGTCGCCCTCGCTCCAAATCGAGGGGCGCTAGTAAGCTCTCAGGATGTGTTCCATCACCTTCTGTTCTCAGGACTGCTCTACTGGGTAGGAGGTGGGGGCCAAGCAGACAGTGCAGGACACCTTAGAAACCACGTCACCTTCGGGCGGGGTCCTTGGTCTCTCTGGGCTGCCACATTTCACAGCTGCTGGCCCCAGGGAGTGCCACCCTGTTTGGCTGTTGGTGACGCATTACATTTTCAGTAGCTTTCTCCTTTTTAAAAAATTTCTTCTTAGGCAGAGTCCCAAGGAAGCCTTTCAGAAGAGCAAGTCATCATTCTCCATCAAAACATTTAAAAGCGCACTCCGACCAGCGTGGCTCAGTCGGTTGGGCGACACCCCAAAAAGCAAAAGGTCACCCTTGGACTCCTGGTCAGGGCGAGCCTGGGTTGCAGGCAGGCCCACGTGCGGAAGGCTATCGGTGGATGTTTCTCTCACACAGCCATGTTTCTCTCCCTAAGAATAAATAAAATCTAAAAAAAAAAAAATTTAAATGCACATCCTTTTACCCAACAATGCCATTTCCAGGATGATCACGTACCTATGAAATAAAGGGTGTCTGTGTGAGGATTTCACTGTGGCAATATTTTTAAACACTGGGAGCGATCTAAGTGCCCATAAACGGGAACGGGGTTCAATAAGTTATGGCGACGCCCACCTGCTGGGACACTCGGAGGCGCTGATTTTCTGAGAAGGTGGAAATTGGGCTCCCGTCTGCAGGGAGTGTGGGGCAGAGGGTCCCTCTGCAGGGAGCGTGGGGTAGAGGGGCGGCCTGGGGCGGGGGCCAGAAGGCACCCTCCCCCACTCCTGCCCACTATGCATCATGTGGCCAGCAGCTGGAACTTGGGCCTTTTTAGGACACCCCCACCTTGAGGACATGTCTCTAAAACTGGACGTGGTGCCAGAATTTTTCTTACAAAGCCAATCAATCCTGAATGAAAAGGGGAGGCCGGTCAGTCCCCCACAATGCCAAATCGGCACATCGCGGAAGTCACGGCACCCCCATTCCGGGTTCCGACGCGCAGCAGGACAGACCTCTGAGTGACCCATGCCTCCAGGTCCCTAGCAGACTCTCAGAAACAGGAAGCCTCTTGTCGGGCCCTTCCCGAAAATAGCCTCCCTTGCAGTGACAAACGGATGCACAGTGGCATGGCCATGACCCAAATACCAGCACTGGGAACCCTTCCTGGTCTTCCAAACGCCAATAAAAAGTCTTTAGAATCACTTCACATCCAGCCTGTTCTAATAGAATTCAAAACAGCCCAGGCCAATGCATGATGACAGGGAATGGGTATGAAGCAAAAAATTCAAACAGACACAGCTCAGAGGCCTGAAAAGAGAAAATAAAATCACTTCCTTGCTATGTAGGATTTCCAAAGAGGATGGTCTTGAAATCTCTTTTAGAACAATATGGTCCCCCTGTGACTGGTGTGGCTTGGTAGGTTGGGCATCATCCCACAAACTGAAAGGTCGCCAGGTCGATTCCCGGTCAGGGCACATGCCTGGGTTGTAGGCTGGGTCCCCAGCAGGGGGTGCACGAGAGGCAACAGATCGATGTTTCTCTCCCTCTCTTTCTCCCTCCCTCCCCAGCTCTCTAAAAAATAAATAAAATCTTAAAAAAGCCAATGTGGCCCCACTTCACTAATCCTTCGGGAGCCAGCAGCACCAGGGAAGCCTCGTCATTTCTCTGGGCGGTGAGCAAGGAAGCCTTGACATCCACCTTTGGGCCACGGCCACCGAAGTGAACGTGAATAACGTGAATCTGTAACCTGCACTGGCTCACAGCTTCATGTCCAATGAGAAGCACAAACCCTTCTAGACGGGCTCGGGACAGTGGAGGGGGTGGGCCCCAAGGCCACGGCATTGGGGTGGGCGTGGGACTGTCTTGGCAGCTACCTTTGCTCTGGTTAAATGTGAAATGCTTCCAAATGGCTCGAGCAAAGATGTATTCTGATTTAAGAGTGCTACTAAACGGACAAAGGAGAATCCATGTGCAGCTGCAAGCAGAACAAGTGACTGTCCTTACCCCAAACTGTAATTAAGACAGGAGACGTGCATGGAGTCAAACGCCTCCCCTGACCCCACGGAGGAGCCTGGGCTGGTGCATCTCGTCCCTGTCCTGCAGCTGCACAGCTGCGTGTGAGCTGCCGGGCCAGCGTGGCGCTCTTGCCTCTGCTCAGGGAAAGCCACACACTCTGGGGCTGGTGGCTGTGTCCGTCCTCCCCAGCAAGACCTAACTGCCGGTGTCCTTCTCGGGGATCCGGCCGCCCTGGCTCAGGAGCGAAAGGCAGCCAGTGGAGCCCAAACTGTTCAGCTCGAGGGTCCCTCCCTCCCAGATCAGCCCTCAGTGCCCCGGAGTCCCAGCGCCAAACAGTGGAGCGGTGCCCAGAGAACCTTGCATCTCAGAGGCAGTCACATGAAGTCACCGTGAAAACCACAACAGCTAGTGGGTCTCTTCTCAACACAATTAATCAATGCTTCTTGCTGAAAGACCAGAAAACGTGAGCGATTCATTTAGTGACCTTCCTTTTGGGGAAAAGAATCACGTTTATGAAAGTGGGACATGCCCCCCAAATCAAGACCTAAGAGCCTCGGAACTCTAAATATTTGAATTTTTAAATAATGTCACATATCAAGCCCATCTCATTGAATGCAAAATATCTCAAGCAGATACACTATTAGGATCAATATAAACTTTCAAATGGATGCAACTATGTAAGAAAAGAGAAATCGCTTCATGGATACACAGGATTTCCAAGGATGACGTTTTTGGAACCAGTTGTGGTTTTTTTGTTTTTATTTTTAGAGAGAGGGGAAGAGAGGAAGAAAGAGAGGGAGAGAAACATCCATGCGTGGTTGCCTTTCACATGCGCCCCCCCGCTCAACAACTGGGAATCCGAGCCACACCCCAGGCACTTGCCCTGACTGGGAATCAAACCGGCGGTCCTTGGCTTGTGGGGCAGTATTCAACCCACTGAGCCACACCAGCCAGGGCTGGAACCAGCCGTGGTTTTGACGACTAAGAAAGCAGACCGTTGCAGCAACTGGGACAGAAGACTGTGGAGCACACGAAATAGAAGAACGAGTCTGGAGGACTGGCCCTATCTGACTGGAAGACTCCCAGTGAAGCCCCAGCGCTACTCGAGAAGTGCAGTATCGGTGAAAGAAGAGACAGATTAATCAATGAAACAGAATAGAGAGCCCAGAAATAGACCCACGTAATAATAGTCAATTGATCCTTCCGTTTAAATCTTTGCCTGAGTACCAGTATATATTTTTATTGATTTTAGAGAGAAAGGGAGAGAGATGGAGAAAGAGAGAGAGAGACAGATAGAAAAACATCAATGTCAGAGAAAAACATCGACTGGTTGCCTCCCATATGCATGCTGAACAGGGATTGAATCTGCAACCTAGGTATGTGCCCTGACCGGGAATTGAACCTGCAACCCTTTGGTGCACAGGACGACACTCCGACAAACTGAGCCACCTGGCTGGGGCTCAACTGATCTTGACAACAAAGCAAAGGCAAATACAATGGAGGAAAGAAAGATGGTCTTCTCAACAAACGGTGCTGGAACAACTGAACATCCATGTGCAAAATAAGGAATCCAGACACAGACGTCACAAAAACGTAACTCAAAGTGGATCAGACCTAAATGTCAGACACAAAGCTATAAAACTCCTAGAAAATAACAAAGGAGAAAATCTAGGGAGCCATATGTTTGGCAAGGACTTTTTTTTTTAATCCTCACCCAAGGATATGTTCTGATTTTTTTTTGAGAGAGAGAGGAAGGGGGGAGAGGGGAAGAAGAGAAAAGGTGGAAATGGAGGGAGGAGGGAGAAAGAGAAAAAGAGAGAGACAGACAGAGAGAGAGAGAAGCAGCAATTGGTTGCCTCCCCTGACTGGGGATCGAACCCACAACCTAGGTATGTGCCCAGACCAGGGATCGAGCCCACGACCTTTTTGGTGTATGGGAGGACACTTCAACTAACTGACCCACCTGGCCAGCGCAGACAAGGACTTTTTTAGATACAACACCAAAGGCACAATCCATACAAGATAAAACAAGCTTGACTTCCTGAAAATTAAGTGTCTGCTTTGCAAAAGACAAGGTCCAGAGAATGACAAGACTGACAAAACATTTACAAGAGACATGTCTGATAAAGAACCATTACCAAAAATATACAAAGAACACATAAAATTCGACAATGAGAAAGCAGGCAACTTGATTCTAACTGGGGCCGAAGACATGAACAGACATCTCACCAGGAAAGACATGCTAATGGTGAGTATGAAAAGGTGTTCCACTTCATCTGTCCCCACAGAAACGCAAACTGAAACAGTGCAGTTCCACCACCCACCGGTGGGAATGGCCAAAACCTGGGCCGCGACCACACCACAGGCAGACGTGAATGTGGGGCCATAGGAGCTCTACAAAACAGTACAGCCGTGTGGAGGGAAGTTAACTTTTTTAAAGATTTTATTTATTTTTAGACAAAGGAGGAAGAGAGGAAGAGAGGGAGAGAAACATCAATGTGTGGTTGCCTCTCACACTCCCCCTCCTGGGGACCTAGCCTGCAACCCAGGCATGTGCCCTGACTGGGAATTGAACCAGCGACCCTTTGGTTCACAGGCCCATGCTCAACCCACTGAGCCACACCAGCCAGGGCTGGAGGGCAGTTTCAAGCTTCTTACAAAACCAAACGTTCTTATCTAAGGGCCCACGCTCATCAGTATTCACCCAAAGGAGCCAAAAATGTATGTCCACACCAACACCTGCACGCAGGTGCTTATCACTGCTTTATTCATACCACTGAAACCTGGAAGCAACCAGGATGTCCCCAGGTGGGTGATGGATACACAAACTCTGGTCCATCCAGACAATGGAACCTTATTCAGCAATAAAAATAAATGAGTTATCAAGCCATGTAAAGTCCCAGAATGCGTCATATTCGGTCAGCTGAAAACTGCGCTCAGCTTTCTCTGTACGATGGCTCTAATAGTGCTTTGCTGTCTTTAACTTCATTCCAAACAATTTTGTTAGATTGTGTGTGACAGCTGTCATATCAGCATGCATTTAAAAAACAAATTACCATTTTAACATTGAAGATGGAAGAAGATATGCACCATTTTTGGCATATTATGCTTTATTATTTCAAGAAAGGCAAAAACACAACAGAAATGCAAAAAAAAAAGATTTGTGCAGTGTGTGGAGAAGGTGCTGTGACTGATGGAGTGTGTCTAAAGTGGTTTGCAAAGCTTCTCGATACTGTTGACATTTTGGCCAAATAATTCTGTGCTGTGGGGCTGTCTGATGCATAGGAAAGTGTTTCGCAGCACCCCTAGCCTCTCCCCACCAGAAGCCAATAGCGGGAGATAGCAGACATACTCCAAATATCCTCAATCAACAAAGTCATCAGTGGCCATGAAAAATGTGTCTTTAATTTAAAGGAAAAACCACACAGACGTTTTGGCCGACCCAATAGAAAGTGCAAGAAGCCGATCAGAAAAAGCTACTTCCTGTTTGATTCCAACTATACGATGCTCTGCACAAGGCAAAGCTGTGGAGATGCGCAAAGATCAGTGGCGGCCAGGAGTTGGGGCAGGGCGTGAAGCGGTGGGCCCAGAGGGTGGCTAGGGGTTAAACTACTCTGTTCGGCACCCTGGTACTGGGATGGTGCATGCACGCCAGTGCACGTTTGCTTGAACCCATGGAACGTGCAACCCCAAGAGCAAACGCTAATGGGATGGACCTGGGGTGACCGTGGTGTGCCGATGCGGTGCATCCGCTGGAACGATTGTCCCCGAGGGGGCTATAGTTAACGGGGGAGGCTGCGCATGCGCTGGGGACGGGGACGTATGGGAACGCTCTGTACTGGACTCTCAATTTGGCTGTGAACCAAAACCCGCTCTAAAAATAGTCTCTTTTTTTAAAGAAAGACAGCGGGGGTTCTCTTAGCCAAACAACTAACCCAGAGGTGTGCTGGGGAGGTGTTCACCGCACAGTCCAAGTGCCGGGGACTGAAAACCCCTTCGCCTGCGTTCTCCACGGGCGAGAAAAGCCCTCGTGTCTCCTGTTTTCCCAGCATCTCTGGCCGCGGCAAAGCCCGTCAGTGCCGCTCTGCCTCGCCCCTGCCGAAGACTGACAGCTGAACAACTCCACCCAGAATGCAACACACGTGTGGACAGACCGCAGGCTAATCAAAGCCACGTGCGCCCTGAGTGGACTGTGTCTGTCCCCGCCCCCGCCCCCCGCACGCAGGTGGTCTCGGTGGTGAGCTGGGATCCGCCCAGGCCACGGGGTGGGGGTGGGGGAGGGGGGTCGGGCTGGCAAGCAGGTTTCTGCTACAGATTTTCCATTAAACGCCAAAAAAGCGGGCCACTGCGCGCAGTCACCCGGAGGAAGTGAAACGCCGGCACAGTCGGCACATTCGAAACAAAACCCGCCCCCGTTAGGAGCTCTGTAAACAGCAGCCTGTTCTCAACGCCGCCCTCGGTCTGCGGCCAAGAGTCAGACGGGTTTGAAGGTGCACATCCTGCACGGACCCCCAGAAAACCGTGCGCAGGAACTAGACCCGACCCGCACCAGGAAGCCCAGAACTTACCCGGCAGATTTGAACCCTGCGGCAAAACAGAATGCCGCCACGAGTCCTCAGGCAGGCCTTGCTCACTGGGTTCCCGCGGGGGTTGAGGGCGCCACCTCTCTGGTTCAGGGGCACCTGACAAAGCCACCGTTGCAAAAAGCTGTCCGCGCCCCTTTCCATCACGGAGAATACGCATTCCAGGAGCCGTCCCAACTGGAAGGACGGACCCCAACGAAACAGAAGTCATGCCCAGTGACCAGCAAACACACCCTTCTCAAGAAATGGGGACCCCCACCCCCCAGCCCGGAGTCAGACGCCACACCCTCAGGGCCCTGGCACCCACCATCTCTCTCTGTGTGGCACTGAGAAGTCACTTCCTGTGAGCGCAGGAAGCGAGCCTGAGCCCGGCCAGAAACGGGAGACTAGGGGCCTCACCTGGGAACGAGTTCCCCGCAGGTGGGATGAGGGTAAAAATAAAAATTCCCAGGCTCCCCGCCTCCTGGTCAGACGCTCACCTGCTGGGCCCGGATCTCACTGGGAGAGTCGGACCCCCGCCCCCGACCACCGCCAGGGGGCAGCATGGGGTCCCGTCACCCCTTAGGTCCAGCCCCATCACAGGCTTAATCCGTCCCGGCACCTGCCAGCCCCCAAAGTGCCAAGCACGGGGTGACCATCCTCAAGGCGCCAGGTGGCAGGTTTACCACATAAAAGGAGAAAGATAGCATCCATTGTCCCAAACACCTCATTAGCAGGTACTGAGAGCTACCATGCCCTACCAGGAGTGTCCAACCTTTTGGCGTCTCTGGGCCACGCTGGAAGAAGAGTTGTCTTGGGTCACACATTAAATACACTGCGACACATAATCACACACACACACAAAATCTTGTTTTAAGTAACTTTTCGATTTTGTGTTGGGTGACATTCCCAGCCATTCTGGGCTGCATGCAGCCTGCAGGTTGGGCGCCTCTGCAAAGATCCTACCGGTAGGAAATGCAAAAGCTCAATGACGTGCAAATAACTTAGGAATCTCACAAAGCAACTCCCTACCGCTGGTCTGCAGGGTGTGACCGGCCAAGGCCAAGGTGAGAGCATGAAAGACAAGAAACTGATGGCTTGAACATGGGCAGGGGGAGGGATCCCCTCCCCCCCCACCCCCACTCACTTCCTAAGGGTGACTGGCATCACAGGTTCCAGGGCCTGCCCCGGGCCAAGGGGTCCTGGTGGAAATTTGGCCAAGATCCACACCCTCCTGCTGGAGGCCACCTCACTGAGCCACCCAGCTTCTGAGTCACCTGTGGGGCTCAAACCACCTGCAGAGGGGAGCTGAGAATCAGGGCTGCACCCTCCGAGCCCCACCTCACCCTCTCTCCCTCGACCCCCACCCCCTGCCCGTGCACCCACACAGCCACCACTGTTTCTTGGGTCCCCGCCAGTTTAGGCGAGACACAATGCATTGGCAAATGAGCCCCCAGTTAGAAAATCCAAGAGAAAGGACTAGCAAGCCATTTAAACCAACCAAGAGTCGTCAGCGTGTGGGCTAGACGGGCTAGAACTGAGAAGTTCACAGCTCTCTCTATCAGCCACGCTCAGGTAGGAAAGGAGGCAGGAGGCGGGACAACCCCACGACAAGAGCCACTGGAGCTATGAAGTACCCAGCCCTAAGTCTCACAGGACACGTACCGAGCGACCATGTGAGCAAAGCCATGAATGACGGCTGAAAGATGCAAAGGCCCTCTGAGTAAATCCAAACACCCAGAGAAGGAGAAAACAGAGAAATGTCTCCTCTCCCCCAAAGAAACCTTGAGAACTATCCCAATCACAATCCCAGTCAGACTTCGGGATGAACTTGGCTTATTCTAAAGTTCATCTAGTTGAAGAAATAGAGGAGAAAGGCTAGAAAAGATTGAAAAAGGAGAACCTACAAGAGAACAAAGTGCAACAAAAAGCCAGAGTAATTTAAACAGATGTTTGCACCAGAACGCACCAGTAAATGAGAATTGAGAGTCCAGAATCACGGTAGAAATAACCCAAGACACAAAACAGCTTGATCGATAACCAACATGGCATCTCAAAACAGAGATGAAGATGGGTTATTCATAAATCATGTTGGGAAACTGAATGTTCATCTAAAAAAAAATTTACATCTCCAGTTCATACCCTATCCAAAAGTAAATTCCAGATGAATAAAAGAGGTAAAAAATCTAAATGATCAATATTTAGAAGAAATATTTAGAATAAATGACATATTTATACAGGGGAGTATTTATACACACTTAGGGTAGGGAAGTTCTTTTTCTGAGTAAGAGGCAAAATTCAGGGGCTATCAGAGAAGAGCCTGAGAGATTGGACGACATCAAAAATTCCACATATCTGGCCCTGGCGGGTGTGGCTCAGTGCATTGAGGGCTGGCCTCTGAACCAAAGGGTCGCCAGTTCGATTCCCAGTTGGGGCATATGCCTGGGTTGTGAGCCAGATCACCAGTAGGGGGTGCGTGAGAGGCAACCCATCAATGTATCTCTCTTACATCGATGTTTCTCTCCTACACACTCTCCCTTCTTTCCCCTCTCTCTCCCTTCCCCTCTAAAAATAAATAGAATCCTTTTTAAAAAAAAAGAAAGAGAAATGGTAGGAATCAAACTGTTAACAATGGTTGTCTTTGCAAGGGTTGAATGGGGGTGGAGGGAAAGCTTTCATTTTCTATATTATTTCTATAAAATTGGGCTTTTTACAATGACTGCTTTATAACCAGAAACCGTTTTCATTTAAAACAATCTGTTTCATGTGGAAGCAGAGCCCAAGGAATCCGAGATCTCGAGCACGTCAGACGCCTGCCCGTCCGTGAGGCCGGGGTCCTTCCCAGCCCAAACTCCGCGGCCAGAAACACGCCGGGAGGCAACACAGCGACCCTCACCCACACGGGTTTGCACGGCGGGGGTCGACTTACACGCGGACTTTTTCCAATGTGTACTGTAAATGTAATTTCTCTTCTTGGGATTTTTAGTAGCATTTTCTTCCCTTTGTCTGACTGTACTGTTAAGATCACAGTATCTAACATGTATAATATGTAATCACCGACTGTCTGTGTTATTGGTAAGACTTGCAGTCAGCAGTAGGCTACGCGCACTGTTAGGAGTTAAGTTCTTAGGGGAGTCAAAGTCACATGGAGATTTTCAACTGCATGGGGCATCGGTGCCTCCAAGCCCTGAGTGATTCAAGGGTCAGCTGTATTTTAAAAATAGATGGCATGTCTCTTATTCTTATGATTAGCTCTTCTACTGTTCCATAATGAAACAATACCTGCAAACTCTACATCCCAGCAGACAGCATACACCCCCCAAAAACGTTCAAAATCACACGTGTTTCATTCCATTCTTCTGACATCTTTTGGCATCTTCAGGTGAGGAAGGATGTTTACCTTGTTTGCTGGCCTGGAGGGAGAGGTCCTGTGCAGAGAAAGGTGGGTCTCCTGCCTGACGTTCCCCCAATTTGTTTTTTTTTTAAGGTGTCATTTTTTTTTTTTTTAATTTTAGAGAGGGGAAGGAAGGGAGTAAGAGGGAGAGAAGCATCAGTGTGTGGTTGCCTCTCCATCGCCCCCTACTGGGGACCTGGCCCACAACCCAGGCATGTGTCCTGACTGGGAATCGAACCAGCAACCCTTTGATTCACAGGCCCATGATCAGTCCACTGAGCCACACCTGCCAGAGCCCATTTGGCTTTTTAAGACTCAGGATTTGACACGGAAACTAAACCAACAAGCCCTCTGAAATTCACTGCCAGAAGGTTCCCACGGAATCTGCTTCCACACACAGAAGACAGTCCATTTTTTCCCCCAAGAACTTGCTTAAAAGTCCAATTTAAGAGAATTGACTAATCCATTTTAGATTCTTCAACCAGAGGAATTTTAAAAATTCCATGCAGCTCAACAGAGCGAACCCATGAATTCATTGTTTCTGCAAAAGGAGGACAAGGGTCCTCCCGGGCCGCAGAATTCCACGGCTTCTCCTGGGATTCTCTGGGCGGCTGACGCCTTTGGGAGGGCAGAGCGCCCCAGCGGAACGGGGGTTCAGGGACAGGGGGCATGGCGTCCATCCCTGGGCCGAATCACCAGGAAACGATATTGTGTAAATAAGGGTCAGGGCGTGAGCCCAGGTTCGAGTGCCCAGCCCCCAGGCCAGTGCCCCAGTGCCCCCAGCACCCCCAGCACAGGAGGTGGACAATCTGACTTGTCAGCCCCAATCTGGCCTCCGTGTCATTGAGAAGTCTCGGAAACTCAGCGCTGGCTCCCCGCCCCCACCCCCAGTTGTTGCTTTCCTGTGCAAACACCACAGCAAACCTAGGACCCTGGGCCACAAGGGGGCCTCCAAGCTGGGGGGGCTTCAGGTACAGGCTGCATCCAGGTGGGCCCTTCCAACTCTCAGAAAACCACGGCTACCCTCGCCGGGTCCCTAAGACGACAGCCCATGCTAGGAGGAGCCTCTGGCCGCCCCCCCTTCCCCGTGACCTCTGCCCTCCGCACAGCCAGCCAGGAGTCAAGAGCTAGACTGCCACCAGGAGTGACCCTTGTAATGAGAGCCAGCCCACCCAGAAAGGCCAAGGACGGCCACCTGGCGGGCAGCACAGCCACCTCGACCCATGTCCCTCCAGCCTCCCCCGCCCACCGACAACCGGAAACCAGGTTCTCGGGCTCCGCAGCCGCCGTCCTCCTGCGGAGGGAGTCAGCGGGGTAAGTCGGAGGAGCCGCAGAGGTTAACGCCACGTGAGCAAATTAATAACGTGATTTATGGTTTGTCATGGATTGTGTCGTTCTTGTAGGAGAACTATGGCAATTTAATCAAAAAGCCTGTAAATCTCTAAAGGGTAAAATTAAACGTCCGCACTAGCGAGGCGGCGACTCGGTGGCTGGCAGCTGCCGCCTCCTCCCCAGGGGCCCAGAGCCGCAGGGCCGTCGCTGCGCCCTCCTCCCCTCCTGTCCCTCTCGAGGAACTGAACACACCTCCCCCAAAGGCCCTCCAAGTGCCCCCTACATGCGGCTCGCCTGCCTGGTCCCTTGCTATGTCCCTCCTGGTGTATCTCACCTGGAGACCCCAGCACATCCTACCCGCCCTCCTCCCCGCATTCCTCTCGCATCTCCAACTGGCTCCGGAGCTCGTTCGTGGAAAACACTCCCCTGGAGGTCGCTGGGCACCGCACGCCTTTGTCACCCTCCCGCTGGGCTCCCTGCCCCAGCAGTGGCTCCCCCAGGGCCACCAGGGGCCCTGGCCCTAATGGTCGCCCCCGTCTCCAGCT